GGATCATCCTAAACAGACTAGAAACAAGGCTGGAGAAAGCTTCAGGGGCATGGGTCGACGAGCTAACATCTGTGCTCTGGGCGTATAGGACCACTCCAAGGTCGACCACCGGCGAAACGCCCTTTAGCCTTGTATATGGGATGGAGGCACTTCTACCAGTTGAGTTAGAACTGCTGTCCCAACGATCGAGCACTTATAATAAAGGGCAAAATGAGGAACTCATGCTGACCGCCCTAGACACTATCGAAGAACTCAGAGAGCAAGCCTCGACCAGGGTTGAGGCATACAAGCAAAGGATGAGGGCAGCACATGACCGAAAAGTGAAGATTCGCCGATTCCAAGTAGGAGACCTGGTGTGGAAGAGAGTAGATGTGCTCAAGCATGTGGGAAAGTTAGAACCCAATTGGGAAGGGCCGTACTTGGTCTAAAAGGTACACGCAGGAGGAGCATACTCTCTGAAAGACGTGGAAGGCAGGTCGCTGGCTAGATCGTGGAATGTAGCTAATCTTAAAAAATACTATGTGTAAACTCTTCTCTGTATTCGAGCAGTTCAATCATTGTAATCCTCTTACGGGAAGTTATCAAAATGATCGATTTCTATAAGAAGATGTTTCTACCAGCGTCATTAACATGTTGCGAATATGATTTCATACGAGCTTCATTTGGTGCACTCAACAACACTACATGCTTTGCATGCTCATAACACGATGTTCCTTCGATTCCCTTAAAGAAGACCAAAGTCCTTCGTTTATGGAACACCTCGATCAAGAGGTGGGCGAAGGTCGCTTGTTTTCGGTACACTCTAAGGGGTGGGCATGTGGTCGACAACGTCCACGCCTCCAGGCTGGACGACCACAATGTTTTCGGAACATCCCTTAGGGTGGGCAAGTGACAAGACCAAAGCCCTTCGTTTATGGAACACCTCGATCAAGAGGTGGGCGAAGGTCGCTTGTTTTCATTACACTCTAAGGGGTGGGCATGTGGTCGACAACGTCCACGCCTCCGGGCTGGACGACCACAATGTTTTCGGAACATCCCTTAGGGTGGGCAAGTGACAAGACCAAAGCCCTTCGTTTATGGAACACCTCGATCAAGAGGTGGGCGAAGGTCGCTTGTTTTCGGTACACTCTAAGGGGTGGGCATGTGGTCGACAACGTCCATGCCTTTGGGCTGGACGAACACAATGTTTATACTAACTTAAAGGCAGCGAGTAGTTACCATAGTTTATTACGATTGTTGGACTACGATTAATTACATATCATGAAGGACGTCGAGCACAATGACAATCATTCTACCTAAACAGATGAATAACTGGTCGCGAATATGAGAAGACCACACACATGACAAGGAACGCAAAGGCTGGGAAAGTAAAAGCATCACACAGCACGAAGAAAATGAAATTAAAGTTTTCATTCCATGACGAGTACAAGATTACAAATCGCATTGAAATAGAATATGAAAATACATCGTCAAGCACCTAAAATTATTTTGGAGGAGCAGTGGTGGATGGAGCAACGCCAGTCGACTGCGCAGCGGTGGT